AAAACCGGGCCCTGAAGCTGTTCCTAAAAGGCCTCTGGCATAACACCGCCTTCAGGGGTGGGTGTGTTACCCAGCACCGCAGTCACCAGAGGCACACCCTGTTGACTTGGCCATCAGGCCACTGTCACCGCACGGAGCAGCTCCCGGTGCAGGGCAGAGGCCTTGTGCCTGCTCCAGGAGCTGTGTGCAGGGGTCAGCCGTGAAGCACAGAGCGCAAGGGCCCTCCGTTCAGCCCCAGCCCTGTCCTGCATTCGCGCTGCTCCTGCAGGAATCAGGGTCGGAATCGGGGTCAGCTCGGCACTCGCCGCAGCGTGCTAAGCCCTCAGAGCAGCCAGATGCCCAGACGGCCCAGTGGCCCAACGCGTACATCCACCCCCCGCTTTATGGTGAATGTGTCTTTTGGGAGTGCAGACCGGTAGACTCGCTGATGATGCTCTGGGACCCCCTCCCCCAAAACGGCACCAGCCTCATCAGGCAGCGACCCCACACGCTGACCAGAACCAGCCGTGTGCCAGTGTCCTGAGCCTGTGCAAGTGGTAGACCTAGGCCTCACTGTATGCGAGCTGCTGTGCCTGTCCCCGTACTGGGGGGCCAAACGTCCAGGCCACTGGCACCCTCCAGTCCTGTCTGGTATTGGGAGGCCTGAGCCAGTAGGTGGCAGCTGTCTGCATTCCATCTCCCAGCAGCAGTGAGATGATGTGAACCTCAGGCGAGGGTCTCAGCACAGCAGCATCCCCTCCCAGGACTTGTCCCCCGGGTCTGGTCTTGGCTGCTGGCCCTGGGGGGAGAGGATGGGGCTGGGCCAGCACTGAGATGCCCCTTCGCTACACAGGTGACCGGGCAAAGTTAGTTGACCTTTCTTGTCTCAGAGTAAGTGTCCGCTGGAGGGGAGGCAGCTCTGACTGCCAGGGAGGTAGAAAACGGGACAGCGGGCAGCTGGAGCCAGTGACACGGCGGGCCTCCCCTGCACCTACCATGTGTCACAGGCCCCCCTCCACAGGCCCTTCCGTCCTGCAGCTTGACAGATTCCCGTCTGTTTTAGAAAACTGCTTCCTTTACTATCAGGGGCCTGGGTGGCTCAGTGGGTTAAGCCTCTGACTTTTGGTTTCAGCTCAGGCCACAATCTCATGGTTTGTGAGTTTGAGCCCCACGTCCAGCTCTGTGCTGCCAGTGTGGAGCCTACTTTGGATTTTCTCTCCCAGTCCCTCTCTGCCCCTCCCCTGCATGCTTGCTCTCTCAAAATAAACTTAAAAATATATATGTATTAAAAAAAGAGGAAGCTGCCTTACTAGTCTCTCACTTTGGCCTATAAGAGGGCTTGACTGACTGGCCTATAAGAGCTGACTCGGGTCAGCTGCCAAGGGGGCTTGGCGTTCACTGGCCAGAGAGCTGCTAGAATGAGCCGCTTCCCTGAGACGGACTTGAGAGGTTTTGCAGACGAGATGTGCGCTCCTTCCCAGGGCTTCCCGGGAACCGGGTCTTACAGGCAGGCGCGTGTCAGGCTAAGAGCGCCTAGGTTATTTCTGATGGTCACTTCCGAGCTTGCAGAGGTTACGTACAGTTTCACAGCCCACGAGCTCTCTAACGGGGAAAAGAAGAGGCTTCTGTGCTGGTTTTCCAGTCCTGGTATTTGCCACTGCCAGTCACTCCCGGCGAGGGCAGAAAACAAGTCGGCATGTCCCTCGGCTCGCCTCGGGCCTCACGGCACCTCTGTGCTGGCTGGCCATCTGCCCAGCGCCATGTCTTGCTCTCCGAGGAGTCTGGTCTCAGCAGAACCCGAGCGTGCCCACGGCCCAGAGTTGCCAACATGCCCGCACATCCGTGGCCCAGTGACAGACCAGCCCCAGCTCTGGCCTCTACCAGTGGAGAACCCACAGGTCACAGTGATGTCAACGGCACTAGACGGCGGGTCCTTGTCTGGTGGAGGTGTTTCCTCCGCCCCCTCCCTGGGCCCGCTTCCGGGACCCATCCAGAAGGGATCAGGGCACCCCACACACACCAGTCTGACTTCCTGCGGCTGGCTCACTACGCCTGCCACGTCCCCCAGGGGCCCAGCCCACACTGCCTGCTCGCCTGCACGGGGCCTGCAGCAGCCGTTTCTAGGCCAGCAGCCGCCTGTTGGGTCTCACCAGCAGCCCAGCAAGCGCAGCTAATTTCAGCACAGTGTCTGGTCTCCCTGGACCTGTCCTGGGTGCCTGTAAGCTGGCAGTCAGCTCGAGGACGAGCCGTTACTGCTTCTCCCGGCCCAGCGTACCAGGAAGGTGAGAGATGCGGGTCCTTACAGGCGTGAGAACAGGCGTGCGCCATTGGGGCCACCACGTGGAGTGGTGGCCTCCATTATGTGGTGTTGTGGTGAGGACGGGGACCACGGCAGCAGGTGTCCGCGTGGCAGCAGGTGTGACTGGCGCCCAGAGACCAGAGACAGCACAGCAGTGAGGCGCACAGGGCCTGTGCCCACGCAGCTCCCACCATCCTGATGACCCATGTGGCTCCCTAGCTGCACCCCTGCCATGTACTGCCTGCATGGATCGCAGCTGTGACCACAGTGGGGCCCAGGAGCAGACCCCAGTCACACCAGGGCTTCCTCCATGGGACGCTCCAGATGCTGTCTGGTGCGGGATGCCCAGCTCTGCCTGTGCAGCCTGGAGAGAAGACAGGACTGTGAGGCAGGATCTGCCCGGCCCGGGGGTCAGTCCAAACCCGGGGCCAGTCCCGAGGGCCGACGTGATGCCCTGCCCTTGCCGCCCACCCCGTGTGAGCAGCACTGCGGGCCACAGGAGAGCCCCGGGCAGCCAGAGCAACAGCATGCAGGGCCTGGCAGGCAGGTAAACACACAGGCCTCGGGTGAAGCGAGGCCAGCACTGCCGGCCATCTGCCCCGGGAGGACGGCAGTGCCCTGGGCTCTAAGCCCCCCAACCCCCCATAAATCCATAATAAAAATAATCCCTCATTTTCCTGATGTGCCCCAGTTCCAGAAGTGCCTCCTGATGCGTCACCGTTTTGATGCAGGACAGGGGCCAGAGAGGCACAGCTGACCCTATTTCACAGAGTCGCACCAGGGAGGGCTTGGGAGCCCAAGGGGGCGGGGCACCCCATCCTGCCTTCTAGGTGAGGACACAATTTCACAGGCCCCCAGCCCAGGAGAGGTTACCAGAGCTCCCACCAAGGGCCTGGTCCAGGCCTTTGTGAGGATCATGATGGGGAAGCCATGCCGGGCTGGTCTCTGCGGCTGCTGTTGCTACCTGGGGGGCCCCTGCCCGGGATGCAGCCAGGCGCCTGCGTCACTCAATGGCCCCAGGGGCACAGCTCCCCCGAGAGCAGGGCAGCAGGGCCTACCAGACACACCCGGACACCGAGTCTGAGGGAACTAGATGTGGTCCCAGCCCTGACGGCACCCGCCCTGAGGGGCAGAAGGCCAAGGGACTGTCTGCTTGGGCCCCATCATGGGCCAGATGAGGAGCCTGGCAGGGAGGCAATGGGCCTGCACTGAGGGAGGAACATTCCCTCCCTCCCCGGAGCCCCCAAGCCACTCACCCTGGGCTGGGGCACCCCTGAGCCAGACACCACGTCCTGAGGCAGGACGTTGACAGGGGCACCCCCGGGCCTACAAAGAACAAGTCTAGCCGTTTCCAGCTTAGGGTAAACTGAAGCATGGACATACCCCCTGGCCCTCAGGGCAGCTACCCAGTCTACCTGCTGCTGGCCTGGAACAGGGCGCAGGCCCAGATACCCTCAAGGGGACAGGCTCACACCTGTGGGTGGCTCAGCTCCAGGGGAGGGCCGCCCACAGGCCCCTCAGTTGGCACTGCTGAGACCTCACAGGGGCACAGTGTCCTAGCCCTGGCCCTGTTACTCGTACCTAGCCTATGATGCAGCCCATCAGGGGCATGGAGGGCTGGGGTACAACCGATGGCTGTGTTTGGTGGCAGCACCACGTGGCAGCCCAGGAGCCTGCCCAGCACTGTGGGAGACCACTGTCCAGGGCCAGAGCCGACCCACGTTGCCTGCCCCTGCACCTCCCACCCCCAGAGACTGGCGGACCTTGCAGTGTCAGGCGGAGTCCCTGGAGGAGTCGGCAGGCCATGGGGGCGGGGCCAGAGCCTGGCCCCCAGGTGGCAGGAGTGGGCGGGGCACCTGCCTGGGCTTTGCCCGCTCATGTGCCCGCTCTCATTCACTTGGTCCTCGCTGTCACTCACCATCACTTGGTCCTTATCACTTGGCCCTTGCTGGCACCGTCCAAGGTAGGTCTGATCAGCTGGCCCCCTGTGCAGAGCAGGAAACCGAGGCCGGGGGGGGATTCTGGGGCTCACCCAGGTCTCACTGGGCTGACCTGGACCACCCTGACCCCCAGATGTCCCTGCCTGTTGGTCTTCTGGCCGAGGGGCGCTGCCCCGCGCGTCCCAACAGGCCCGACCCCACCGGCGGGGAGGACCCCTTCTGTCTTCGGGAGGGCGGGGCGGGGGCGGAGCGGCCGGAGGGGAGGGGAGCCGCGTCCTGCGCCGTGCGCGCCGCCCGCAGTGCCCGCCGAGCGCGGAGCGCCGTGGCCGGGGGCGTCGCGGGGCGCGCGGGACAGGCGGCCGGCTCCGGCGGCGCTGCGCGCAGGTAGGGCAGACGGCGGGGGCGGCAGGCAGGGCCGCCGCCCCCGCCCCCGCGAGCCCCCAACCACGTGGCTGTCCCGGCCAGGGGTGGGGATGCTGAACTTGGGGTCTCCGGGAGGGGAGCACCTGCATGCCCTCCATTGGCTGTCCCTCCCCCCACCAAGAGGCAGACTCCTCTCGACTAGGGCTCTTACCCCCCGGCTCCTGACCGAGCCTCCCACGACTCCTCCTAGTGTGGCTGTTCTGTCCCCATCTGACCAGGCACCCCCCACCCCCGCCCCAAATGGAGATCTTCCAGCCAGGAGTCCCCTCCACAGGCTGACACAGATAGTGTCACACTCCTGTCAACCCCTGCCCACCCTCCCAAGGGCCAGAAAGCCGATCCCCTGGCTCTCAGCCTCAGAGATCAGGGCCTGGGGACAGTGAGGGACTCCCTGGGCCCCTGGAGTGGGCTGAGGTGGGGGAGGAGGCAGCAACCCGCTTTGCCAGGCTGGCGCATGAGCAGAAACTGGGCCCGACGGTTGGTGGACAGTGCTGGGGGCAGCACTGGGCGGAAGGAGGCCGCAGCCCCTCCCCAGTCCCAAACCTGCTGTGCAGCCTGGGACCCCAAGCTTCTCAGCACCTCCTCCCTGCAGCCTCTAGGCCAGAGATGTAAATTGCAGCCAAATCATCCTGGCCCCGGGATTAACTTCCTCTGGGTAGGCTTCCCCACGCAAAGCAGAAAAAAAGGCACTGGAAGGAAGCCAAGGAGGGCCCCACCCCTTACACGATGGTCTGGGTGGGAAGTGGGGCTCAGTCGGGACGGTGGGATTCCGTGAGCCCCCCTGTGCCTGGCCCTCCTGTCGCTGCAACGTTGCCCCTTCCCTTCCAACCCAGAGATCAGGCCATGGTAAGGCTTGGATGGGGATGGGGGGTGGGGGTATAGGGCTCAAGTAAAGTTTTCTCTGCAACTAATTAGCCCCGTGAGGGGAGGGCAGGCACACGGGGCCTCGTTAGCGGGGCCTCAGCTCCAGGCCCACCCTGCACCCTGTGGACTACACGGGTGCCTATGTGGACCCTGGGAGACGAGTGGTGAAGCCCCTGGGGACCTCCCAAGCCCTAGAATGGGTGTGCCAGGGTGGGCCCCCCTCCCTCCTTTCGGCAGGAGGGCCTGGCAGGCGCCCGGCTGTTGCTTCCTCTTGTGCTCTCCAGCCCCAGGCTGGCCACTTCCGAAGCTCCCGACGCCATGGAGGAGTGGGATGTGCCCCAGATGAAAAAAGAGGTAGAAAGCCTCAAGTACCAGCTGGCCTTCAAGAGGGAGATGTCATCCAAGACCATCCCCGAGTAAGTCCCCAGGACCCCATGGAGCGCCCCCCCCCCACTCGGGGCTGCCAGCTCCCATCTGCATCTCATTTCCCTGCCCCGTGCCTGCGTTTTGCATGAGCCAGAACCACACCTCCACGCCACACCCTGCCTTCAGGCACCTGCCGGCTCTCCTCACCCTCCCCACCCTGCCCGGACACAGGCTCCTCAAGTGGATCGAGGATGGGATCCCCAAGGACCCGTTCCTGAACCCCGACCTGATGAAGAACAACCCATGGGTGGAGAAGGGCAAGTGTGCCATCCTGTGACGCCCCCACCCGACTCTTGCCTCTTGGTAGGGAGGACACCTATAAAAATGTGATTTTTATAAAGATTCTTTGAGGATATCTGTGCTTTTGTACATTTTCTGATGGAGAAAAAGCAACAGTACAGCATCAAGCCTGGGCCCTAGGGTGTCCGGAGGGGGATCCAGGGCACCCAGCAAGGGTCAAGGTGTGGGTGCAGCCCCAGGGTGTCCAGCGTAGGTCCTGGGGTGTCCGGAGGGGGATCCAGGGGTCGAGGTGTGGGTGCAGCCCCGGCTACAACAGGTCCCTGATATACAGGCTGCGCCGCACAGCATTGGAGACGCCCTCCTTGAAGCGAAACCAGACGTCGCTCCTGCCCACCGCCGTGCCTATGCGCCGCTCTGTCGCGTCTGTGTCCGGGGCCCAGTCCCCTGTGGAGGCCGCGTGGTTGCTCCTCTGCTTGCTCCAGCCCCCCCCTCCCCCCTCCCGCTACACACCTGCATGAAGGGCTGACGCTCTCTTGATGACCACACGACCAAAGAAGTCTCTCTCGGGCTGAAGGAGGCAGGCTGGTCAGGGTCTTGGGGATAGATCCCCGAAGGATGGTCCCCACTGTGAGGGGAGGGCCCAGCGGCTTCGGGAGCAGACGCCCACCTCCCCTCCCAGCCTCCCTCCGTGCTCAGGAAGTGTCCCTTCAGCTCCTCAGAACCTGCCCAGTGGCAGGAGGGAGCCGTAGCCAGGTCCAAACTGGTCCAAGTGGGACCCCGTATGCTGAGCAGCAGGGAACTGGCAGGCCCCCCAGGGCTGAGCCCCAGCCCCACCCCCACCCGCCGTGGCCCAGCCCCCCTTTCTCCCCTGCACCTGCTCCTCCAGGGCCGCTTTCTTCAGGATGCGCTCCAGCCGCTGCTCCTCGTGGCTGCGCGAGGTGGGCGGCTGCGTCCCTTTCTCCCCAGCACCTGCCTGGGGAGCTCCCTCTGCCTGCAGAAACGGGTGGTGAAGGCTGACTGAGCAGGGCCACTCCAGGGACAAGGCCCCTTCCAAAAGCCCTCCCGTCCGGGGCCTGGGTCTGGCCCGGAGCCCGGGCAGCTTACCTGGGGGCTGTCCCCAGCGCGGGCCAAGGCCTCTGTCCGCCGCATCTTCTCCATTTCGATCTCATGGGCAATGAGCTGCTTGGCCTGGTAGGTGAGGGGCTTGCGGGCCGGCAGCTCAGGAAAGTGGCAAATCTCCTCCACGTTCCTGCTCTCAGAGTAGGTACAGAGATGTGCCCGGTCAGCAGGGACAGGCGGAGACCACCTCCCACACTAGTCCCAGAGGCCAAGATGCAAGAGCTGTGGGACGGGTCCCCGTCCTGGCAAGACACTGCCTGAGCCCCACAGCAAAAAGAGATTACCTGCGCCGAGCCTCAGTTTCCCCAACCGTATGTGGGCACGAGAAGGGCACCACCCTGGGCTGCAGGATGAAGGACTGAGACAACGCAGCAGGCCCTGGTCTCAGGTCCAGGCTGAGCGCCTGCGCCTGTCACTCCTGCCTCCCCGTGACTGGGGCCCCGGGGCCCTGCTGGGTACCAGGGACACCTCAGGAGGGGAAGCAGAGCCCTGGGGAGCTCGAGGGCCCTCTGCGGGACACTGAGGCAGCGAGGGCCCCCTCAGTAGCCCTCGGGCCCCAGCACTGGGCCTGACTAGGGGTGCCCCTCCTCACGAGGAGCAAGGGCTGAGCAGGACCTGAGCCCTGGCCGCCCCCACAGACGCAAAACTGAGACACACACGTCGCCAAGACCACGCTTTCAGAGTCCTGGGCCAGAGACCACCACGGCACCTGGAGCCCAGCCGCCTGCCCCCCGCGCCCCCGGCCTCCCCCCGACCCAGGGCCACATGGACTCACGGCTCTAGCCGGTAGACATAGTGGCCGTCGGGCATGCGCTCCTGGCGGTAGGTTAGGCTGTAGGCAAGCATGATGCCCACGAGGCTGGCCAGCTGTTGTTTCTCGCGAGCGCTGTACAGCTGTGTGCTCACCTGTGGGCAGGGGCGGGGACGCTGAGCACAGCCAGGGGCCCTCCCCTGCCGGCAGCCACAGCCCCGCTCTGGCCGAGACACTCACAGGGCGCAGCTTGGGCGCAAGGATGTCCAGAAGCAGGCAGAGGGCATCCAGGATGAGGGCCTGAGGTGCAGCCCGGCTGCGAGTGGCGGGTGTCAGGCCCAGTACCAGCGTCTGGATGAGGTTCTGTGTCCTGCTCATCCGGTTCTGGGCCTAGGGGGAAAGAGCATGCGCCTAGGGCACCAGGGATCCCTGGGCGGGACCCGAGCCCTGGGCAGGGTGCGGGGCACACCTCCTGCTGGCTGTTGGGGAAAGCGATCCTCGGCACGTGGCTGGAGGCAAAGAGCAGGTGGAAGGCGGCCGGCAGGAAGGGCAGGTAGCGCAGCAACTGGAAGTTCTGGCCGTGGCGGGCGGCCCGGCTCAGCAGGTCGTCAAAGGCCAGCCAGTCGAGGGCCGTGCACACGGCCCCCAGGCTGGAGTCCCGCAGCCTCAAGCGCAGAAAGTTGTCGAACAGACCCTGGGGGGTGAGCAGGCTGGGGGTGCCCCTGAGCCCCTCCAGCCTCGGCCCCCAGCCCACTACGTAAGTGCCGTGCAACGGGACCCTCCGCCTGCCACCTGGCCTGCTAAGTGCAGGGCCTCGGGGACATCGGCAAACACCAGCAAGGGCCCCAAGGCCCCAAAGAAGGAGACCAGGAGGCCCAGCCTGCCACCCCCACCATTCTGACCACACTTCTGACAGACGGGGGTGGGGGGGGGAAGAACCCGGCCCCCGCCCTAAAGGAAGTTCTATGGTCAGAACCAGGGGCACAGAAGCCCCGGAACTCGACCTTGTTCCACGTGAGTCCCGTCTCCTGAGGCTACAGCACTCGCACATGCGCGCACACACATACACCATACACCACCCCCACCCCCCGTAAGGTTTCCAGATCTACGATGATCACCTGCTAATCCAAAGCTGCTTAGGGAGACAGCTTAAGCTGGGCTTCCCGGGGGTGGGGAGCATCTGTGCCGCCCACTCCGCCCCAGCCAGATGGGTCCCGACCAGCAAACAGAGTGACCCCACCACGCACCCGGCCCACCTCCCCTCTCTGCCAGCCCACGCAGGGCGTCCCCTCCTCACATCAGCTACTCCCTCCCCCCAGGCCTCTGTCTGTTGGTCATCATCTCTGAGAGGTCTCCCCAACGCCCCGCGTCCACTGCCCCTCTCTCGCGTCCTGTTTCAACACCATCTGACGCTTCTCCCACCCACCGTCTGGGGACAGCCACGCAGCCAGGTACTCGCCCGCCGACAGCCCCCAAGAACATTCCAGGAGCTAGATTACCTGCACCACCTTCTCGTGCTCGCCGGCGGAGGCAGCCACATGCAGGATGTGGTAAAACCGCTGGGAAGCCGTGGTCAAAGGTGCCTCGGCGGCACGGGGCCCCGGACCTGTGTGCCCGTCACGGAGCAGGAGCGCGTGCGGGGGCAGGGCCAGGTTCTGGCCCCGGCGTTGCCTGCAGAGGGTGCCGAGGCTGGAATGGAGCCCTGCCTCTCTATCCCTGTCGGTAGCACCTTGCTACCCGAAGCGCCCGAGTCTGCACGAGGGCGATGCTCTAGCAGGATGGCGGGGGAGGCCAAGGGCCCCCAGGGCCCAGGCAGCCCCGGTCCCTGCTGGAGGCAGGCTGGCCTGCCCGCTTACCTCTGGGCCCGGGGCAGCTGGAAGACGTCCTGCCACACAGAGAAGAGCCCCTTGCGCTGGTCCTTGAGACCCACGTGAGTGGTCTGCACAGCCTGCACGCTCAGCTGCCGCCGGCCCCGCCCGTGCAGGAACTGGACACGGAGGTGGGGAGGGCGCTGGCGGTGAGAGGTGGCTGAGCCTGGCCTCACCCGCCCGTGCCCCCTACCCGCCTTCCCACCTGCAGGGTGTTGATGCAGGCGCGGATGTCGTTGTCTGTCTTCTCACAGAGAGCCGCCAGCGCACCCGGGTCGGCCTGCATGCCTCGCCGCAGGGAGATCTGCGGGCAGGCGGGAGGGTGGGCACTCTCCCGGCCCAGAACCCCCCCAGGGCCACCTCTTCCCGAGAACACAGGCGAATACAGGGGAGCAACAGCTACAGGCCCAGCAGCCCTGGGCTCGGAACCGTCTGCTGCAGCACAAACTGCTGCAGTCACCCCCACACCCTGGGATCAGCTAGGGGACGGGACACGGACGGGAGACAGGCCAGGACAGAGGTGCGTCCCCCCACCCCCTAGATGGCCACACAGCCCCCTGGTCGCATGTCCCCAACCACAGCCCTCACCCACCTCCTGCAGCCGCTGCACGAGCCTGGAGGACAGCGTGGGCGGAAAGTGGAGCAGAAAGGCCTGCTGCCTCAGCTGCCGCAAGGAGGGCACGAACCTGCAGGGGGCAGACCCACACAAACCCCCTGCACCCAGGGGCGCAGGCGGCCGGGCAGGGGTGGGTCCCACCCTCCCAGGAGCTCTCTGCCCTCCTGTGGAGACCCCCAGCAGACCCCTCCCTGTGCAAATCCCTGCTCTCCCCCACTCACTGGTCGTTGCAAATGCAGATGACGGGCCTCATCAGGAGCCCCCCCTCAGCCCGGCGCCGCCGTCCCCCACTTGTGGGAACAGCCGGACCCCCGGACTCTGCCTCCTGCGGGCCCTTGCGGTCCAGGATGCTCAGAAGAACATTGATGGCGGCCTGGGGTATGGGCAGAGAACTCAGTGAGCCCCAGCCTGTTGCCTGCCCACCTGCCCGCCCACTGGGGTGCCCAGGAGGCCCACCACGGGGGCCCCGTCGATCTCATCAATGACCAGACAGTTGGGCTTCCCGCCAGCACCCAGCACCGACTCCATCTGCGTGGCCGCCTCAATGCACGTGCGGAAGGCCTCAGGGCTGCGGTCGTCACTGGAAGCAGCGTGGCCTCAGTCAGGGAGGGACCAGGGTCCCTAGCAGGACAGGCTCCCCGGGCTGGGCCACCAGGCCTGCAGCTCGAGACTGCTCTGTGACAGGGCCACCCGCATCCTGGCAAGCCCCGACAAAGCGTGAACTCCACCGCTCCAGAGCCCAGGGCCAGCCCCGCCTCCAGCCCGCCAGGGCATCTAGGGAATCAGGCCGGACAAGAGGCGGGGCACTTACCTCGCATTCAACTCCACCACGCAGTAGCCAGCATGCCGCGCGATCACATGAGCCAGGGTGGTCTTGCCCAGCCCTGGGGGCCCACACAGCAGCGCCACCTGTGGCCAGACAGGTCAGATGAAGACAGGCTACCACCCATGCCACCGCGGAGCCCCCGACCCGACCCCGAGGCTGAAAATCCTGTCCCATGAGGCCACTATGGGATGTGCACCCCCCCACCCCCGGGCGAGCACAAGACAGACCGCGCCCGCGTACTCGTGCTTTGTGGAGCCGCTTCAGAGCCAGGCAAAGCCCTGCCTGAGACAGACGAGAAGATCTGACAGAGGCACGGCCGCTGCTGGTGCAACTGGGCCCCAGAGCCACCTACTGCCACAGTGAGTCTCGAAAGGCACGGGGTCCTCCAAAAAAATCCTTTACTTGGGTGTTTAAAACAGGCTCAAATCCCAACTGACCCTCGGCGCCAACACCCTGATGTCGGGACGGCCACAGCGGCAGAGACAGTTCACATGCCTCGAGGCCCCCAGAGGATGCAAAAGGGCCGGCCAAACCCAAACGGCACAGCCCCTGGGTTCAGACATGTGCGCCGCGCGGCTGGATGGGGCTCACCTTCTGCCGCGGCCGCCGGCTCGCGTCCAGCTCAGCGCTTAGCATGTCCTCCAGCGCCTGCTCGTGGCTTTTCCACTTGCCGGAGGTGGTAGCCTCCTGGCCACCTCGGGCCGGCTCCGGACCGGGCCTCGGCCTCCTGGCAGGCCGCTCTCGGCCGAACACCACCGGGTCCCACAGCTTCAGCCACTTGAGGAGGCAGCGGTTAGTGAACTGCAGGATGGGACACGTGGCCTGGAGGAACTGCCAGCACCAAGGCCTCCCCGTGCCCGCCCTTCACGTCTGCCTACTGTTGTGAGCCCGAAAAACACGCCGGGATGCGGAAACCAAGGGACAAGTCACCCAGCAAGTGAGTGACAGGGCGAGGCTTCCAGCAGGACCCCTCCCTACCACCCGAGCCCTCCAGGGCTCCCACCGTCTGGGCGCGTCCCAGCATCAGCCGCTATGACCATGGGAAACAGAGGCTGGGGGGGGAGGGGTGGACCCCCAGCCCAGATCACAGGTGACCTACAGAAGGCCAGGCACATGCTGGCCTCAGCTTCCCCACCTACAGTTCCAAAGGGCGAATCCAAACCCTCCCCTCCCCACCGATGTCCCTCAAGCTGACAACAAAGGGCTCAGTCACACTTAAAGGAGAACAAGAGAACACGGCCTCACGTCGTCACTGAGAAGCTCCGTGTAGCACCGAGGGGCGAACTCGTCCACCCAGAGGCAGTGCTGGGAGTCATCTTGACCGTTAGCCAGCGCTTCCTCGGGGGCCTGCGAAGCCTGGGCCTCCTCTCCCACCTCCTCGGATGTGAGGCTGGAGAACATGACGCCCTGAGCGGCCGGGCTACTAGAGGGACCGCCCCCGCCCCCCCCCCCCCCCCCAGATACAGGCTGGAGGTCAGCAGCCCGGGAACCGGCGAGGCGCCGGGGCTGGACGGGTCGGGCATCACCTGCGAAGCACGTCTGAGAGCTGATGGGCCTCCTCAAGCAGCTGCTGCCTCCGCTGCGCAACCAGCAGGGGTGGGATCAGCGCGTGCCCCGTGCGCAGTCACCCTGGGGCTACCCTGCTCCTCCCCGCAAATCCCACCTCGCTGTCCACCTGCTCCTTCAGGGACTCGAAGGACACACCCAACAGGTCCAGCCGGCCACGCCCTCGCCACCAAATATCAAGGGAAGGGTCCTATAGGGAAGCAAGGACACAGTTCACCACCTCTCAGGACATAACCACCCACAGACGCCCTCTGGACAGTGCTGAGGGGCCCCGGTGGCACTTTCCAATGACAACAGAGCGGGACAAAGACGAGCCCCTTCTCTAAACAAGGATTCTAAGGAGAACATGTACTGGAACGAAGACAGTTGTAAAATAGAAAAGAGATAAAAAGGGGCGCCTGGGTGGCTTAGTCGGTTAAGCGTCCGACTTTTGCTTGGGTCATGATCTCGCGGTGCGTGAGTTCGAGCCCCGCGTCGGGCTCTGTGCTGACTGCCAGCTCAGAGCCTGGAGCCTGTTTCAGTCTGTGACTCCCTCTCTCTCTGACCCTCCCCTGCTCACGCTGTCTCTCTCTCTCTACTAAAAATAAATAAAACATTAAAAAAAAATTTTTGAAAAAAAAAAAAAAAAGAAAAGAAATAAGAAGGGAGGCAAAGAGGAGAGAAGGAGAAGGAGACAGTGAGACGCCCTCTCGGGTGGATGATGGCAGGCGAGGTGGATGCCCTGAGGGGCCCCCGGAGTCCAAGGGGGGTATGATGTCTGGGACCCTTTCCCAGACAGTACTGAGCCTGCCAACCCTGCAGGAGGCCTGTTGCCAGCCCCTCACCCCCACTGTGGCCACACAGCACCCACCTGCACCCCTGTGCCCACTGGGTCATCCCGCAGCACCAGGAAAGCCCGGGAGCCCCCAGTGGAGGTCACGGTGACATAGTCCTCCAGGACCGGGGGCCGCCTCAGGACTGGATTTCGGGCTGCTGGAGAGGCCTGCAGGGGACCCACGTCAGCACCAGCGTCCAAGGGCCTGGGAAGGGACAGATGCTGACTTGAGGACACACCTCCTGTTGCCATCGGAGGAGGACCCAGGTCCACTGTTGGCCATACACTCCTCCCACACACGCAGCCCCAGGCCTCCCAAAACCTGGGACCCCAACCCCCAATCCCTGGGACATCTGTGCCCCAAGGCACACACCCCTTGCCCCACAGTTCAGTGGGGACCTCTGGACTCGGTGGGGGGGTGATGTCCCCAGCAGGGGAGTCAGGAAGGGGCAGCTCTTCCATCTGCTCAGGTCTGAAGTTCAGCTTCTTCACGACTTCCTGCCGGAGCCGTTTGACCCTGGGGGCTGGGGAGACAGACGGAAGTTTCAGAGGCTCTTACTCAGCCTCGCTCCCCACCCCCATGCCTTGGGCCTCTGAGGACATACTGGGGGGCAAAGCCGCGGCCTTCGAGTCCTGGTCGGCCAGCTGCCTCTTCCTGGCACTGCCTCTGTGGTTCCCTGGAGGTCCGCCTGGAGAGCAATGAGTGGCAGCGTCCCCTCCGGCCACAGCCTCCTCGAACGTCAGCCGGGACAGACACCCCATGGGCCGGGGACCCCTGGAGGGCGACAGGGCCGCTGTCCCTGCCGGGAGAGAAGGTATACAGGCAACAGTTCCCGCGGCCGGCGGCGCTGGAGGACCCTCTCGACCCGGCGCGCCCGCGCCTCAGCTCGCCGCAGGCTCCCGGCCCCCGCCCGCCTCCTCTCCCCCGAGCAGCCCTCCCGGACGACGGCAGACGAGGCCGCGGCGGGGCCCGCGCCCACCTTCCAGCTCGGCCAGCACCTCGAGCTCGGCGGCGAACTGGCTGTAGAAGTCGTCCTGGACGCCCTCCAGCTCGCGCCCGGGGTCCCCCATGGCGTCCGCGCCCGCGGCACCAACCCGGCGCTCCAGCCCGCAGCTCCGAACCTCCCGCGCCGCCGCGGGTGCCGCGCGCCGTGCCCGCCCCTCGCGTCCCAGCGCCGCCAATCAACGGTCGGCGTGCCCGGCGGCGCTCGTCATTGGCTAACGGGAGGAGCAGGGCCGAGGCGGGGCTGCGCGCGCAGGCTGGGCGGGGCCGATCCAGGGCTGCGGCCACGGGCGCTCACCATTGGCCAGCACGCTCGCCTGTCTGCGACGTGGGCGGGGAGCGTGCCAGGCTGAGCAAACGCGCCAGAGTGAAAGCGGCGGTCTCGGGCGCTCACCATTGGCCCGCAGGGCCGCCCGTCCGTGGCGTGGGCGGGAAGTGGGCGGGGAGGGGGCGGGCCGTGGGCGGGGCTGCGCGCTCCTGCAGGGCCTGTGAGCAGCGGCTGCGGGGTGGCTGGGCCGCCCGGCGCGGGGACGTAGGGCTGGAGCCAAGGCCCCGCAGCGGCCTCGCGGCCCGGGGCGGCGCGGCTGTGCTGCAGGTCGGTCCGGAGTGGCGGGGGTGGGCTGCAGGAAGTGCTCCCAGAACCCGTGGGCCAGTGCCCATCAGATGCGGGGGGCGGGTGCTGCCGGCGATGTAGTTCTCTGCTTCGGGGCGGGGGGTGAGGGGGTGGTGAAGGCGACGATGGCCCCCTCGCTCGGCGCCGCCGCCCGCCCCGGCCGTCCTGGGCTGCCCTGGACACCGGGGGCGCGGCAGCTCCTCTCCTTGCGCCCCCTCCTCGGGAAGCGGCGCCCATCGCGCGTTGGAGGACTGTACAGAGGTGTCCGCGGGGGCGGGCTGGGGGGCGAAAGACTCCGTCTCCTGGGGTCTGGGTCTCGGTCTGGGTCGGATAACCCCACAGTCGGAGCTCAGAAGTGAGGGTAGGAGAGCACCCAGCGCGCGCGGACGCCGCGTCAGTGGCTTCACCGGGGGCCCTGGACAGCAGGGGTGTACACGCCAGTTGCGCAGGACGCTGACGTGCGCTGGACTCCCCGTGGACCCCCTGCGTTGCAGGCCCCCAGCATGGAAGCAGGCCGAGTAGAGAGCCTGTCGGTGGTGTACCAGAGCCAGGACTTCCTGGTGGTGAACAAGCACTGGGACCTACGCATCGACAGCAGGATGTGGCGTGAGACCCCCACCCTCCAGAAGCAGCTACGTCTCCGCTTCCCCGAGTTAGCGGACCCGGATACCTACTATGGGTTCAGGTGTGCAGAGGCCTCTGCGGGAGGGGAGTGGCCGCCCCCAGTCTAGCCACCCCTGATCCCCTGCCCCACGCCAGGTTCTGCCACCAGTTGGATTTCTCCACCAGCGGGGCCCTTTGTGTGGCCTTGAACAAGGCTGCAGCGGGCAGCGCTTACAAGTGTTTCAAGGAGCGGCGTGTTACCAAGGCTTACCTGGCTCTGGTAAGGCCTGATCTGTGTCCAAGGTAGGGGGTTCCCCAGAAGTGGTGGGTGGCCCCGAGAACAGCTTGTGACCCTCTGCCTGGCAGGTGCGGGGACATGTCCAGGAGAGCCGGATGACCATCAACTATGCCATCGGCAGGAACAGCACAGAGGGTCGGGCTCACACCATGTGCATCGAGGGCACACAGGGTACACAGGGCAGGGTGGGGTCTATTCAGGGTGGGGGACATCCCTGGGAACCAGTCGGGGGGAGGGGTCCACTGGGGACCCTGAGTGGGCACGGCCAGCTAGGGCAGGTGAGCTGGGCTGGAGTGGATTGGGCTCTGGGCTGGTCCAGGCAACCTTTGCACCTCGTCCTCCTTACAGGCTGCGAGAACCCAAAACCCAGCGTCACGGAGCTGGTGGTCTTAGAGCACGGGCTGTACGCGGGTGACCCCGTCTCCAAAGTGCTGCTGCAGCCCCTCACGGGTACGTCTGGGGACAGGAATCAGGAAGCCGTCCGTGTCCCTTTGCTGTCTGTAAACAGTGTCTCTCGTGCCCCTGACACGATGAATGCCTGGCATCCCCATCGCGTCAGGGAAGATGCCGCGGTTTCCCTTTTGTTACGGATGAGATGAAATGGCGGCACAGGGGCAGAGTGGCCTGCGTGGGGATGCCCCTCCACATCAGCCGCCCCCGGGGTCTTGCTCCTGGATGTGAGGGCCTCGGAAGGCCAGCAGGGCTTCTGCAGCACGCCTGGCCCCACCCCTACCACAGCGACTGTCGGAGTTGACTGCTTTTCGAGCTCTGACTGTGTCGGTTGCACCAGCAAACAGGGAGGTCTGCCATTTTCAGGGGTTTTGAGGGGCTTCGAGACGGCAACAGGACAGGGTTGGGGTGATGTGAGCGGGCGGGGGTGTGGGGTGGCACCCCCACCCTAGCGGCTCCCTTGCACCCCCACAGGCCGGACGCACCAGCTGCGCGTGCACTGCAGTGCCCTGAGCCACCCTGTCGTGGGGGACCTGACCTACGGGCAGGCGTCGGGCCGGGAAGACCAGCCCTTCCGCATGATGCTGCACGCGTTTTACCTGCGCATCCCCACCCGCGGCGAGTGCGTGGAGGCCTGCACGCCAGATCCCTTCGTGCCCACACTCGATGCCTGCTGGAGCCCCCACACCCTGGTGCACTCACTGGACGAGTTCGTCCAGGTCCTGAGGGCTGCCCCCGACCCCGAGCCTGCAGAAGGGAGCCCGGGGCCATGCAGCGCCCCCCCGCCCCCCGCCAAGCCCCCCGAGACAGAGGCACAGCGGGCCTCGTGCCTACAATGGCTGTCGGAGTGGACGCTGGAGCCCGACAACTGAGGGCACTGCCGCGGGTGTGAGCGCCGGCCGGGACCACTGGGGTGGGGGCTGCAGGGGAGAGCCCCCAGTGGGGGTGTCCCTGTGTGCTGCCCCCCTGCAGACGGGGACCAAGGCCTTGGCTACAGCAGCTAGACCTGGGGAGGGGCCGGCAAGGCCAGCAGGGGGAGCCAGGCCGCCACGATTCTGGAGGACCAGGCCTTCCTCCAAACCCCCTCTCCCCCAGGCGAGACCAAGTCCTGCCCTCCTGGCTCCAAAGCTTCATCCCTCGCGGCTTGTTTTAGCGGGTTTGCCCAGGGTCACCCTGCAAGAGGCAGAGCCACGAGCTGAGCCAGCCTCGAGTTGGGTCCCTCCGGGGCCCCCCAGCCTGGGCCCAGAGCACCCTGCTCATCACTCTTCTCAGGCCTCCTGTGCTGGTGAGCCTTGCCTGGCTGGGACTCCCCTGCAGACCCTGACCCGTCCTGCCCATACGGTGCCGCCTCGTGCCGTTGCTTCTACCAGACTTGCCCGGGGACCCCCTCTCGCCCTGAGTGGCATGTGGGGGAGGGTCTGAGCCGCTCCTCTCAGCCCTCTCGCCACGCCGAGGCGGCCGGCGGCCCTGGATTTGGGCTTGGGAGCGAGGACGGCCAGCCCCTCCCCGTCCCCGGCAACGCAGCCCCATCAGCCTGTTGCAGCTGAGCATCGGGACTCAATAAACACTCAGTGACTGACCCCATGAGCGATCACGAATCTGTCCAGTGTTGGGGGCTTGGGGGTCCCAGATCCCTGCACGGGGCCGACCTCTGCCCTGGCCCTCAGCAGGACCCAGGATGGGCCTCACGGTCCTGGACGCTGACCTGTCCTTCCCGCACCATGCAGTGGGCACCCCGCGGCCCTGGTGAGAGGGCCGGGCTCTGGGTGGAGGACCGAAACTGGGTCAGCCTGTTCCTGGACGTCCCCGGTTCTGGCCACAAACATCGCAGCGTCCATCTGTTCTCACCAGTCTTTCCTAGAGCTGTGGTCTCCACATGCGCCTCGGGACCCTCCACCGTCTCAAATGCCAGCCAGTCTGCAGGGTGGGCACTTTGGCTGGGGGCGATCAGGAGGCAGGCGTGACCAGCCGCGGGACAGTCATCTGGTGGGGCCCACGGGCTGGGCCTGCAGAGCAAACCACAGAAGCTAGAGCGCGGGATGCGCTGTAGTCCCCGAGGTGGGGAAGCAGGATGGTGAGGCGCACGAGGGTAGGCGCCGTCCTGGAGACTGTTTTGCAGTTGCTGCTGCCCCCGTAAGATCTTGGCCCCTTGAGCTCTCCGGAACCAAGAAAGCCACCCCCAGGCCAGGTCTAGACCTTGCTTCCTACGAGTAGGCTGGTGGGTTCTCTCCCACCACCCTGTGAGGCTGCAGAGACCAGACGTGGGGGCACACACAGCCTATCTGGCCCCCGTCCCCTGGCCGTGGGCGGGCAGGGCTGGAGGGTGTGGGGATCCAGCAGGCGCTCCTGGGCAAGGGGCACAAGGAGAGCCTCCCCAGACGGCGGGGCTGCAGCATGGGACAGGCCCACCATAGGGGAGCTGCTGGAGACGCGGGGGGGGGGGGAGGCAGCGCCCCCAGCAGTGCGGGAAGGACAGCTGGATTGCGGGGGAGCGGTCCTCAGTCGGCCCCTCTAGCTGTGGTGCCTTAGGCCCTGGGTCAACACGCCTGCTTGGCTGTGAGGCTGTCTCTCTGGGCACGTGCAGCTCTACTCACGGTGCTGATGACATTAGTTTGGTGGCTGAACCAGCGCCATGGGGTTCAAGGCCCCAGTACCCCCCAGGCCCTGCCCCCCTCAGCTGGGGATAAGCTTCCACAGCACCTCCCACTCTGCCTCAGAGGCCCCATCCCGGGCCCCAGAGCACGTGTACCACAGCTCTTTGCCATTGAGAGACGACCTGCCCAGTGCCCTCAGCCTCCCCCCACCTCACAGCACACACGCTTATGGACACACAGGCTCACGGGGCAGAAACTGCCATACGTGTCACTGAACCCATGTGCCACGTTAGATCCGCGTGTGCCTGATGTCCCTGCATCAGACGTTCCTGTGGCTGTGGCTGCTCCCAGGCATGCGTGTGTGCACAATGACACCACACACACGACAGATGCAGACACGCACATGTATGAACGCACACATGACCCCCAGGACGCAGACACATTCCCCAGTGGGAAGGGGTGTGCGCTGGGTGGCTGCCAGCTGTGAGCTCAGCCTCTCGCTCCGCTGGGGCTGGAGGGCAGGTGTCTGCTGTGCTCAAGGTCCCCAGGGGTGGACACGGCACCGTCACCTGGCACAGCCCTGGTCCCTCCCTACACATCTGCCTGGCAGGCATCGCTGCAGGCATGGGTGGCCCGGCAGGCAGGGTGCTGGGTGAGGCATGGAGCTGAGCATGGACGCAGGTGCCAGCACCCTGCACCAGCCCCGTGCCCCAGGGCTCGGCTGCAGGGGCTGACACACTCGGTGGGCCGGGGTCACTAGCTTCTGGAGTACCTGTCACCTGGCTTACACCCCCTGCACTGGACGGCCACCGCAGGGTACGGGAGCAGCCTCCCTCTACGGCAGATGGTCTTCGAGCCCAGGTGAGAAGTGAGGGCTGGGGCAGGGCCACGGCTACCCAGACCTCCAGGGCGCCGGCTGTGAGTCCCTCTGTGTGGCTCTGGGTGGGGAGCTGGGCCCCTCCCAGCTCCAGCTTTGCTCCCTGCATAGGACAGAAGCCCCCTGGGCCCGGCGGAATCTAAAATCCCAGAAGCGCCAGACACCCTCAGTCAGGGCCTCCATCTGCAGGCGGGGCAGGGCTGCCTGGCGGCATTGGTGGGGGGTCGTGGCTGGAGGCAAGGTCTCTGGCTGGGTCCTGGAGAAGAGAGCTTTCTAGGTCGCCCGGGTACGGGAACAGGTCGGGGAACCCCCGGAGCCTCAGCCGCCAGCTGGGGGCAGGGACTTACTGGGACCACCCCGCCCTGTGGCTGTCGCGATGTCTGTTTACTGGAGACACCAAGGCCCGCAGGCCCCATGAGCCCCGACCTGCGATAAGGAAGGCCCAGGGCTGGGCCCGCCCCCCCCCCCACCGCTCCCTTTGGCTCCACGGAAGTATTGTTTATGGGGTTGTTACCCTTCCCAAAGACACAGAGACGCAGCTTCCCTGCGTGAACCCGGACCGCACCGCCCCTCTGCCCGTGCCGAGGACAGGGTGGCGATGGGTGGGCCTCTTCCCTCCTCTCTCCTCCCCAGCTTGTCCCGGACCCACCGCCCGTGACCCCACGCCTTCCTGCACAGCCATGGGCCCAAGAACAGGTGAGACTGCCACCCTCACAAAGGGGCACCGTGGACCCGCGGGGGCGGTTCCCACGGCCAGGCCCCCCTCAGGTGGCAGGACCTTCTGTGGGCATAGGGGCACAGGGAGCCCTGGGCAGACCCTTGAGGGGTGCCCCCGCCAGGCAGGCCCGGCCATGCTGGGGGCCATCAGCTGCTCATGGCCTGTTCTGTTCCAGGTGCCCAGGTGAGCCCAGGCCTCGCCCTCCTCACGTGGCTCACTGCCCACTGCTCCTGTCCTCAGGCCCAGGGCTTCTCCCAGGAAGGGCTGGGTGCCAGCAGGGCTGACCTGTGGGCCAGGTGAGTGCCAGCCCTTCCTGCACTTCCAACCTACAGGTCATGTCCTGCCCCTGATTCCCTGGCAGGCGTGGCGGGGGGGGGGCTGGATTTGAGGAGGGAGGTGCCTCTCCAGGGGCTGCACCTGAGGGCCCAGGAGTGGCTGAGCCGCCCACTGACCTTGCCCCAAGGTGACCCAGATCGTCCAGTGTCCTGCCTCAGAGTCCCACCCATGTGGCCAGGAGCGGGTCCCCCAGGCTGTTGCCGCTGGGGTGGCCCCTGAAGCCCGGCCCTTATGCTGCTCTCCTGGTCTGAGTCCTGTTAGCTTTCTTCCTCTGCCCCAAGGCCTGGCTGCTCTCTCAGGCCCCAAACACAGACTCAGTAATTTGCAAGCACTGTTCAGAGGTCTCGTGCGTGAGCTCAGCCATCCTTCCCTTTCCTGGGAGTCAGAGGCCTCTCATGGACCATCCGTCTGACCAATCAGTCTGCCGATCAGACTGAAGTCCACAAGATGCCCTCCCCATGCACTGGTTTTATTAGACACACAGCACGCAGAGCACTAGCCAGGAAGCAGCCTGGCCGTGGTGACACTGCAGATGCCCGGGGCACCTCTGCTCCAAACACCCAGCCGCTGCTGGGGCCAAGGAGCCTGCTGGTGCTCAGAGCCTCCTGGGACGGGGCCTCAGGCGGGAGCACAGACCCAGAGTCCAGGCCGGGGCCATACCGAAGCCCTGCGCACAGCTTGGAGCCGGGGGCCAACCACGTGTCCGTGAGCGTGTGCCGGGGGGAGCAGCGGTCACGCCTGCACGGAGGCACCACTGCCCACCCTTCCTGCGTCTCACCCCCTGGGGGTTGGGGCGCTGACCTCCATCCTATACACTGCAATGGGGCTACCCGCCCCTCACTACCCACCTCCTTTCTGCCCAGTGCCGATGGCTCCCTACTGCACAGCTTCTGGTGCCAGCCGGCTGGCCAGCTGCCCCGGGACCAGCTCTCGGCACTCATCAGGGCGATGGCCACTCACCGGGTCTTCCTCAAAGCCTGGCAGGTGAATGGCTGTGGCTGATGGGAGCAGGCCAGGGCGCTGACAGCAGGGGCAGGGAGGAAGGACGTCCCCAGCACGGGACACGGGCCAGCAGGGGGACCGCGAGGCCGGGTGAGGGCGAGTCACCAGATGTGGGGGCCACGCGGGAGGCGCCGCCAGCTCTCGGAGGCTGGGTTTTCCCTCCCCTGAGCGGTTCTCTGCTGCCCACTTTCGATCATTTCTAGGACTTCGCCAATTACCTGCAGATCCCCTGCCTTCTGTTCTTGGTTTTTAGGCGAAGGCTTGTCCACCAGGCCTGCACAGGCCACTGCCTCTTCCATCTGTCACACGGTGTCCCCCCATTAGGACGGGTCCTCCGGGCCCTGGGCGGATCCGCCAGCCTGCTGGCCTGTCCCCTGCCTCCTGAGCCCACCTCGACCCACAGCTGACCCAAGCATTGCCTGTCCCTGAGTTTAAGGAAACAGAAGGAAGAGCTACCATGTTGTCTCTTTACAAAATTAACATGAAATTAGTAATAAACCTAGATCAACCCCAAAGTGAGTCAAGCAACACCAGAAGTGCAGGCAGGTGGCCTTGGGATAAACGACTCTGAGTCACTCTAGTGCGGGGGGGGGGGGCAGGGCTGGGGAGGACTCTCGGGCTGGACTTGACGCATCCCAAGACTGGGTGACACAGGAAGACGATGGGATGTCCAGGTGACAGAGTCCAGCAGGCGGGGAAGGGGGCCACACCGAGGGGGAGGCTAACGTGGCAGGTAGAAGGGGCTGGGGGAGCCCCAGCCTGGGCGAGCAAGTGACACGCCACCGCCCTGCCCAGCTCAGCTGCCTGGCCAACCTGGCTGCGCTGCACGGCCTCCAGGACGACTTTGAACTCCACCCCCCGGACCTGCTGCTTTTCTACAAGTGAGTGCCCACTCCCAGCCTGACACCTGGGCAGCACAGGCTGAGCGTGCCTCCTTTGGAGTTCTGGGGACCCCAGAGCCCCAGGGACATCCGGGCTACCCCAGAGGATTGGTGCCTGGTCCCCACCCTCCCAACAGCCCCCCAACCCGCCCACAGCCTGACGCAGGTGAAGGAAGCCGACTGCCGGGCCTTCACCCACCGCGCCGTCCAGGGGGACACGGAGCTGCTGGCCAACCTGCCTGACCAGAGGGCCGCCCTGCAGCGTGTGGCCTTGGACTGCCTGGTAGGCACGGCCGGGGGCCCCTGCGGGACGGGTGGATGGGCAGTGAGGCCGGGCTCACGCTGACCTGCTGTCCCACAGGGAGGGCCCCGCTTGCGGCTCAGTGCCTCTGACCTTCTGCTCCTCGGGGTCCTGGTGTGCGACATGGACGCGTCCAGCATCGTGGCCGCGGACCCCTGTGTGCTGCAGAATCTGCAGCGCTGCCGCTGGCTGACCGACCCCCAGCAAGCCGCCCTCAACACGCTGCTGGCCGGCGGGGGGACTGCGCTTGGGTAGGCAGGGCCGAGACTCTCTGCCCAGGACTCCCCCGTCCAGAGGAGACCACCAATGTGTACCACTCTGCTGACCTTTGACCTCTCACCACAGCTCGCAGCCCTACTGACCCCACAGCCCGTGGCGCACAGGCTTAGGGGTGCTGCCCCCATCCTCTGAACCCCACGGTCCCCTGCCCCCACACCTGGGGTGGGAGAGTCCCTGCTGAGCAGGGCGTCCCCTGCAGGGCAGTCCCTGGAAAGTGTGTGCTCGAGGAGGGGTGGGCAGCCTCCGGGCACCGGGGATATGTTCCCCACCCTGACACAGTGCCCCTAACCACACACCAGGCCTCCTGGCTCCTGGAACCTAGAGGGGCTGCGGGCTCTGGGACCCCTGGCCACCTACATCAGCCCCAGCCTGTGGCTGCAGGTACAGCAGGTAGGTGCTCTGGAGTGAGGGGCTGTCCAGCTGGCTGTGGGCAGGGGGAGGGGCGCCCAGCCGACCTTCCACCAGCCACTCCGAGGCCGCACCGGCGTTCCCAGCCACTCTCTGCCCCAGGGTTTCTGTCTGGGGGGCGGGAGGAGGAGCCAGGAGGCCCCTGGCAGCCCCTCGCCAGGGCGCAGAGTCTGCATGCCTGCTCTGCCAGGCCGTGGGCCTGGACTTCTTCGGCAGCATGGTGGCCACGTACCGAGCTGGGAGGCTCAGCCAGCGGGATGCTAGGCGCTTCGTCACTGGCTTTCTCAAGGCCAAGGCCGAGTCGGTGTCCTCTAGGCCCAAGCGGGGCACAGGTCAGTGTGGCCACTGTGGCCTGAGGATGCTGGGTCTCCGCCTGCTCTGGGCTCCTAATCCTAGGGTGGGAGCACCCACCATGTGGCGTGCTGGCATGGGCGTGGCCTAGGGGTCTGCATGGGGGGGTTGGGGGCAGGGGTGGTTAGAGTCCAGTGGAGCTGCACTGTAAGGTCAGGCCTGGGTTGGGAGTCGAGGTCAAGTTCAGTCTGGTATGGGCCAAGTTTTCTAAGCTAGAGAGGTCAAGTCTGGGGAAAGTCAAGGGTGGATCAAGTTTAGGAGTGGGTGGGGCCCCCGGTCAGCATAGGTCATCTCAAAACCCCCAACCCACCACCCGCCACAGGGAGACCCTGCGTTCGTGGGGACATCACAGCAGCCACACTACATGACGACCTCTTTCTGGTGCACTATGACTGCGTGCAGCTCGAGTCCTGCCTGGGCAGCCGGGTGCTCAAAGCCAACCTGGACCCTCTGCTGCAGCACCCGCTGCCAGCCGAGTGCCAGCGCGTCGTCAAGGCCAAGCTGGCTCGGGTGCGCCGTGGACCGGCTGCGGGGGGGAGGTGGGCGGGCGCTGGGCAGCGAGGCCTGACCCCCGCCCGCCCGCCCCAGGTGTACCCGCACGGGGTCCCCGAGGAGCAGCTGCGGCTCATCACCTCGCTGGTCTACCTCTACTCCCGTTCTGAGATCGGCCAGTGGAACATCACGTCCAGCGACACGGTTGTGGCCCTGTTGGCCTCCGACGTGGCCCTGGACAACCAGACTGAGGTGAGGGCCGTGCGGGGCCGTGGGGGTGGGGGCGCCCGCCCTGGCCCCGCTGACCCGGGCGCTGCCTCCAGGCTGTGCTGCAGAAGTACCTGGACCACAACGGCACCCTCACCGGCGCCCTGCTCGTGGCCGTCGGGGGCGCCCGCCTCTGCTGGATGAGTGCCGGGCAGATCCAGGCCATCAGGCCCTCGGAGTTCCGGTGAGCTGGCCCAGTGACCTCCCGAACCCCCCTCAGCCAAGGAAGCGGGGGCTCGGCCAGGCCACCTAAGGCTGTTAGTTTTCTGCAGCTGCACAACACAGTGCCATCTACCCGGTAGTTAAGGCCAGAGAAACCGTGCTCTCACTCTGAGATCAGGGGTCACAGGGCCAGCTGCCTCCGAGGCCTGCAGGGGACACTCCGTCCTGCTCCTCCTGCTGCCGGACGCCTCGCCCTGGCCTCGGCCTCCGTGGCCACGCGGCCCGGCGCCCTGTGTCTGTGTACAGATTGCCTTCGTCTCGCCTCCGCATGTTAGACTCAGGGCCATGTTAATTCAGCATGGTGTCACCTTAAGTAGCACACATCACACACGGCAAATCCCCCGTTCCCGAACAAGGCCACGTTCTGTGGTGCGGCAGCTGTGACGCTGGGGAGGGACGGTGTTGGGCATGGCACGGAGGGCAAGAGGAAGGGCGTGGACAGGAGCGGCCAGGAGCGAGAGGGGCTCCCAGCCTGCCCGGCAGCCTCCTCCCCGCCACCTCCCCCCAGGCTGGCCGGGGCCCTGGACATCTCCTCCTGCCCTCAGAGCCAGAAAGACGTGCTCTACGCCAAGGCCCGCGAGGCCTTTGGTGGCACCAGGACCACGGCTGCCTATTACCGCTTCATGCGTCCTTACCTCGGTGAGACCCTGCCCCGCATGCCAGCGCTGGTCCCCAGAAGCCCCTTGCCCCTCTCCCCTCACCACTGCCCGGCCAGCAGGTGGTGCCCCTGTGGAGGAGCTGCGACATCTGGCCCAGGCAAACGTCTCCATGGACATCGACACCTTCACCAACCTGAACCCCCGTGTGCTGCAGGTGGGCCCTGGGGGCTGCCAGACCAGGGGAGCCCCAAGCGCCCCAAAGTCAGAGGGAGGCAGACCACGTGAACCCCAGGTCACTGCCGCCAGGCCTCACCCCTGTGCTCACTCCTACTCAAGCACTGCCCGGCCAGCTCTGCCCTTGACCACACAGCCGGCCGCTGTGGGACCCTCCGGCCCTCCCCCCACGACCCCTCCCTTCCCTCGCAGAGCCTGAGTGTCGGCAACGTGACGACACTGCTGGGCCAGAATGTGGGGGACCTGCAGAAGGCGCGGAGCCACCCGACCATCAGCTCTTGGCTGCGCAGCCTGAACAGGTCGGCCCTGGGCGAGCTGGGCCTGGACACAGACCCCGCAGGCCTCAGCGGCCCAGGCCGCTCCCCCACTGCAACTCCCCACACTACACCCTGGAGGCCCTACCCAGCCCCCACGCCAGGCCATCCCGGGATCGACGCCCCCACCTCCGGTATGCTCCAAACCTGCTCTCCTCTCTGGTGGGCCTTCCCTGTCTGCCTGGCCCTGTCTGCCCAGCGCCTCTGTGGACCCTGAACCTCACACTCAGTTGACCGCTGTTTGTTCCCCTGGGTGGCATCTGGGGGACAGTGGCCTTCGTTGGCTGCTGAGTTACTGGGGGGAAAAACCCCAAACCTGCTGAGGGCCAGGAAGTAGGGGTGGGATAAGCCATGCGATCCCTGTCAGGGCCCAGGAGAGCAGCTACATGGGCTCCCCCGCTGGCCTTCCCTAGCCGCAGGGGTGCTGGGAGCCTTGAGGGGGTGCCCAGGCCTGGGAGGCGGCGGGACGGCCCAGGGGCGGCTCCCAGCTGGGACTGATGGGTGCTCTCTCCATGTTCTGCCTACAGGCAGCCCGCCACCCCACCTGGGGTACCTGCCTCTCGCTGTGGCCCTGCCCTCTGGCGTCCTGTGGCTGCTGTACTGGCACACCCCAGGGCCCAGCCAGGACTGGGGCTCCCGCACTACGGCCTCCGAGGACGGCGCTGCCCCAGCACCACGTGCAGGGAAACCGGGGCTGGTAGGTGGAGGCGGCCATGGTCCCCCCCCACACCCAGGGTCCCCCCACAGGCCCTGGTTCCCGCCCACACCCAGCTCCCAGGACACAGAGCTGGAATGAGGACCTGGGCCCACCCCGAGGCCAGCCCCGAACCGTTGGTGCTGCTCCAGACCTCTGGTCTCCCTTGGGATGCTGCTGGGGAGGGGCGTCACTGAGGGAATCGAATAAAAGACAAGGTGATCTTCCTGCCTGTGTCCCTTTGTTCTGAGCCGAACTGGGGCAGATGCCCTCTCAGCAGAAAACAGGACTTCTGGCTGCGTCACCAGATGGCACCCTGAGCGTTGGCCTGGATGGGGAGGGGAGACCCTGGGACGGGAAGCAGTGGTAGGAAGTGCTGCCCGCCTGGACTAACTCTCCTGGACCCCCTCCTCCAACTGCAAGTAGGAGGGGCTACAACTTGGGAACCACATCCACCAGGTCAGGGCCTTCCCACCCGTCCTCTGAGCTCTAAACACCACGGGCGCCTCTGCAGGAAAGGAAAGCGTCCTTTTATTGAACCCCAGTCCCCTTGGGGGAGGCGACGGAGCACCCGGCCGCTCTGGCCAGGTGGGGCCTCACAGCAGGGCAGGTCCGGCACCCAGAGCAGCGGGTTCAGTTGGGGACCAAAGCCCACAGCAGAGTTGGGACCGCAGAGAGCACAGGTCCGGGTCCCAGCAGGCGGGCGCCCCCTGAGAGGGCCTCTGTGCAGAGAAAGTGACTCAGACGCCCCACGCCGCTCCACTCCGGCCCCACCCAGCCGGCCACCCTGGCCCACCTCGGAAGCTGAGGTCCACGACCAGGTAGCCGTTGGGGATGCCACCCTGGAGCCCCAGGCCCAGACTGTCCAGGTCATCCTGCCGCTGCCGTAAGATCCAATCCCGCACCGGGCTGCTCTCCTGCGCCGCCTTCAGGCCCACCAGGTTTGGACCCAGAAGGTTTTGCACCTCGGCAACGGTCAGCGGCTGCCAGAGCCCCCAGAGGGCCGTCAGGGGCCGTCAGGGGCCGTCAGGGTCGCCCTGCCTTGCCCCCACAAGGCTGCCGGGCTCTGCTCCGCCCCAACCCCGCCCGCCACGCTTCCCTTGCCAGGCGCAGAGACCCTGCGTTGGCGGCTCCACGCTTTGGAGCTCGCCCTGGTGCAAAGGCATTCCCTCCCTGACCCCGACCCTCCAGCGCCCTCCTCTGCGCCCCGCCCCCTGTGGCCCCGCCCCTCCAGAGTCTCGCCTCTGCGCCCCGCCCCCCCAGTGGCCCTCTTCTGTGCCCCGCCCCCCGTGGCCCCGCCCCCCAGTGGCCCTCTTCTGTGCCCCGCCCCTGTGGCCCCGCCCCCCCAGTGCCCCTCCCCTGCGCCCCGCCCCTCTGTGGCCCCACCCCTCCAGTGACCCTCCTCTGTGCCCCGCCCCCCGTGGCCCCACCCCGTGGCCTTACTTGCACTGCCTTGGGCCGCAGCGTTCTGAATGTGGGCACGTCCATGCTTATGTTATGACGACTGAGAGCCCGCAGGTCTTCCGTGGGGGCCCCACCTGCCCGCGGGGAGAGGACCCCAAGCGTTAGACTTCGCAACAGCCCCCAGTCCTATCCCCTGACCGGAGGCTGCAGGAAACCCTCTTCTTCACCAAGATTCCCTTTTCCTAAGGAATTCGTGGGCCCCAGGTTCCCCTGGTGATCGTCTGATGCTCAGGGTGCATGGAGAGGCTGGAGGTGGCCCAGGGAGCGTCGGGGTGCGGCTCAGAACTCAGGGTCTCCATCTATGCACACGCGTAAGGGCAGAGGCACACTGACCACCAGTCACACCAGCAGCAGCCTAGCGAGGGAGGAACTGACAGCACCCGTGTGGGGAGCCCTGGCCATCACGCCCCCCTGGGGGGTCCCCCCTGGCTCACCCAGGTAGGGCTTGATCCTCTCAAAGTATGCAGACCCGCTTATGTTCTGGAAGGCATCTCGGGCCTTGGGGTAGAGAATGTCCATGTGCACCGGGCCGCATGCATCCAGGTCCTGGGGCCTGGCCGCCCTAGGGAGGAAGCCGGGGCCTGCACAGTGAGCCCGGAGCACAGCGCGCCCACCACACCTGGCAGGCCCCGGGACTCACCAGACGACGCTGTGTGGCACTGAGCCCAGCTGCTCAGGACTGAGGAAGCACAGGTATGTCGGATGGAAAGCTGCCAGCGCGTCCAGGGTGGCCTTGTCCAGCTGCCCCCCTCCCGCCACATAGCGGGCAATCAGGGCAGCCACCTGTGGAAGGAGGCCACGGGTGCCGTGGAGCAAGGAGGCGCTCCCCCACGGGGCTCGCACGCCTCACACCACCTGCCCCCTCCCCGCACCTGAGCATCCATCTCGCGCCCACTGCTGACTTTAAGAAGAGACTGCACGGTTTCCAGGGATGTCACGTTCCACTTGTGGATGTCCTCGGGGGTGAGCTCGAGGAAGAAGTACCTGAGGTCCCGGACCAGGGACTCGGGGTAGCCCTGTGGATAGAGCTGCCCGGGGAGGTGACTGGGTGACTGGGTGACTGGGTGACTGGGGAAGCTCGGGTGGGGTGGGCAGGCGTGAGCCCGTCAGGAAATACCTCGTCCAATTTGCGCTTGAAAACACCCAGCTGCTGGTAGGTGAAGGGCAGAGTGTTCACCCGGCCCATGTGAGCGGCCAGCAGGGCCCCGTCCACACAGGCCGCCAGCTCCCAGGGCTCGTAGAAGACAAGGTTTTCGTCCAGCACAGGGGCCCTGCGCGCGGGGGGGCAGGCCTTGTCTGCGGGGGCGGGCAGGCAGGGGATGGGGGCTGGACCTCGCCGGTCAGCCTCTTCCTCCCAAGCCGCACAGAGACCCCGGGCAATGCGTGACCCCCTCCGGGCCTCGGTTTACACATCAGCATAAAGGAGTGATTCTGCCCATTCTCTGCAGCTGTCGCAGCTGAGCAGGCAGAGTGGCCAGAAAGAGCCGCCGGTAAGGGCGGGTGTGACCCCGCTACGCTATCCCCACCCCAGGTCTCCCGGCAGCCCCCGGGGCAGGGTGTCCCACTGACTCTGTGTGTCCCGCCGGTCCCTCGGGAGGACAGCCGTCCGCTCGGGCCCCTGCCGAGACGGGTCCCGGGAGGTGCGTTGCAGCCAGGGGGTCATGACACCCTGAGGACAGAGCACGGCTGTGGCTGAGCCCTGCACGGCCCGGGGCCCCCGACCCCCTACCCAAGGCCGGGCACCTTCCGGTGTCCCCAGAGGGAACTTACCGGTCTCGGGTCTGCAGCCTGGACCCCGGAAGGGAGCCCCCACCCTGCAGGGGAGGAGCACAGGGCTTGAAAGGACAGCCCGGGATCCCTGGTGTGCCCGCCACAGGCCCCCACCCTGCTCAGGAAGGAGGCAGAGCTGCCCCCCAGCACTGCACACCCCACAGGCTTAGGCCTCTGTACCCCCTGACCACCCCAAGGAGCCCGGGCCTCCCACAGCCTCCTCCTAAGACCTCGCTTCTCAGGGCGATGAGCACCCGTTCCAGGGACACGCTCAGGGCGGCCTGAGCCCCCATCCCTCCCCTGGCTCGGCTGCTGTTGCCCAGGGCGTGGCACTCCAGCAGCGGAGCTGGGGACAGAGACACGGCCGCAGCCTCCCCAGGGCTCAGGGCACCGACCTAGAACTTGGGCACCCGTCTGGAACTCCGGGCACCTGCCAGGACTCAGGCCACCTGGCCAGAACTTGGAACAGCTGCCTGACCTCAGGGCACCCGCCAAGGATGGGGGGGGCCCTGCCCACAGCCAGTGAGGAGGCGTGGGACGGGTACAGCCTTTCTTGAGGCCCCTCAGCTGCTTGGCTCCCCGTCCCCCTGAAGCCGCCCACCCCAATGACTCACCAAGGCTGAGAAGCAGGAGCAGGATGTGGGTGGGGGTCCTGCGGGACCCTGGGGGAGGTAGAGCAGTCTGCAAGGCCATGGTCTGTGGAGGGCAGCCGCTCTGATATCCCCATTTTAGGTAAACAGCCTCCCCCACCCCTGACACCCCCCACCCCACACTCCTCTTCTTCCCCCAACTCCCGCCTCACCCTGGGCCTGCGCAGGGCCTTATGGATCAGGACAGGCCTCAGAGCCCCAGGGCGACCCCTGTCCGGCCGCTGCAGGTGGCGTCTCTGTGGCCTCCAGCCCCGCTCTCAGGACCAGCCCGTCCACCCCACCCGCCGCTCCGGGAACCGGGCCCCTCCTGCCGCGGCCGCTGAGTCTGAGTCAGCCTGGCCCCCCGCAGTGAGAGCCCAGGGCGGCAACCGGTGAGGGCAGGGCCGCCTCGGGCCCAGGCTGGCCCGATGCCACTGCATGTTGGCACCAGGGCTGGGGACAGATGTGAGAGACGCCCCCAGCCTGGGGCGAGGCCGCTCTCTCCTCCCCACCCTCCCGCTCCCGGCACCTGCCGGGCTTTGTGCAAACCCAGGGCTCAGGTGGACAAGGCCGGGGCCCACCTGCCCTCCTGCTTTCCACTCGGAGCCCCCTCCCGAGACAGAGGCCTCAGGGTCTTGTGGGTACAACAGCCCTTCCTACCTGCCAGGCCCTCGGGTGGGGCTCTGGGGGGACACCCCCTGCATTTCTGGAGTGGGGCTCGGGGTGGGCCTCGCCGCCAGCGTGGGCTGTGGAGCACTGTCCCAGGGTAGGGTGGGGGCCTGCGGGAGACCAAGCCAATGTAGACCAAACTACATCCGCCCCTCCCAGGGAGGCCCGGGAAGGGAGGCCGCGCTGCCCTGGGCGCGGTGAAGCGCAGACGTCCCGGCCGCAGCCTCCGCCCAGGCTTGTGTCAGCCCCACCCCGGCTCTGAAATGAGGGGGCGCATTCCTGCCGCAGCAGCCCCTCTCACCGGGTGCTCGGAGAGCGTCCTGGGAAGTGGCCCCCGTGAGCCTCCTCCCCTCCCCTCCCCCACCAGGCTCCAGAGGTGTGCGAGAAAACCAGACCCCCAGGCCACAAAATGGGCAGTGCAGTGAGGACCCCCCTTGGAGGGGTGGGGCCAGGTGGGCCGCTCCACACCCTGCCCCCCACAGCCCCTTCCCCAGGCCCGTGGACCAAGGGAACCCCCAGCACCTGGGAGCCTCTGAGGCCACCGTGGGCCCTGGGATCCGCACCCTTCCCATCTCCACCCCCAGACCCACCCCCCGGAAGGCCAGGTTGGGGCCACAGAGGCACCTGGGCTGTCTTAGGGCTTCCAAAGAGGCCTGAGCTCGACCTGCAGCTTCGAGTCCGTTCCCGCCGGTCTGGAGTGCCCCTGGTTGTGACACGGAACCAGGCCCCAGCAGCGCTCTGTCCCCTCTGCAAGCCTGCCGCATGCTTCCTTTTCTGTCCTGCATCGTGCCCCAGGGGGCAGTACAGGGAGGGTGTCCAGGCTGGCCCCCTCTCTAACCCGGAGTCCTCCGTGACAGCATCCACCTGGGGGCCCATCACTCCGAAACCCCTGCACACTGGCTCAGTGCCTACCGCACGCCGGGCCCTACTCAGACACTGGCACACCTGGCTAGCGCAGGAAAACTCAGGTTCTGTCCAGGCCGGGCAGCGGGGCCTGGCCACAGAGACGCTGCCCCCGCCCCCGCCCTACCCTGCTACCAGGGGAGGTCTGGGGTCTGAGTGGACCGCAAGCTTCCCAGAGCGCAGTGAGAGGTAGAGGTGGCTGTGCCTCGACAGAGTAATGTCCAGCTCCTTCCGCCAGCCAGAGTCATGGGCTCAGAGCTCGGGGGCAGGCAAGCATCAGCGCGTTCGCTGCCTCACCCGCCCCACCCCCGCCCAACCCCCACCCACCGTCTGGTCTTCAAGTGACAGAAAATGAAGTCAGACCACATTCCCAACTTCAGGCCCTTCTGGTGAGAGCTGGCAGGGGAGCCGGACAGGTTTTGGGTCTTGGATTCATGGTCATTTAGTCAGCCCCAAACACAGACACTCTGCAGCCAGCCCCGGCCACAGACTGGGGCAGGGCCAGCCGGCGCGAGGGCAGAACTGACCCTGAGGAAAGTGGGGGGCGTCTTCCCCACTCCCCGAGTGCACTGAGGACCTGGAAGGGGGCATCTATGGTGACAGGGGCCAGGTTGTCCCCCCGCCAGCCTTCTTCTTTGGGGTGGCCAGGGCCCCTTGCACGTGGGTCCTGGGACCAGCTTTGGCTAATGTCTGCTCCCACTCAGACCTTCTGGGCTAGAGGGGCCAGGACGTGCTGATGGACGTGACCCCACCCTCCCCAGGCATGTTCATGCAGGTGACCCAGATCCCAGCTGGGCCACTGTCCCCACCCCACGTGGATGAGGCCGGGATCAGACCCTTTCGACCCTGGATACTGGGCTGTGCCCCAGGACACCCCTGGGAAAGGCCCTGGTGCCAACGGGCCCTGCGCTAGTGACTCTTTTTCAGGGTGATGACCCAACCTGAGCCTCCTTTGCCATGGTGTCCCCAAGCGGAAGTAAGGCAGCCAGAGGCTGGCACCACTCAGGTCTGTGAGCCGAGCCATGCCAGCTGGGAGCAGGCTGCCCCTACCGCAGGAATGTGCGGGGGAGTCACCCAGGAGGAGGGGTGCCTGGGGCAGAGAGCGGGCCCCAGCCAGGCCCATGGTCGGGGTGGGGGGAGATGTGAGCAGCCCCTCCCGCCAGGCATGTACCAGGCTCATGCTGGGAGCTGAGGCCTTGCTTCGCAGCATCTCACTGCCCCATTTCTCATTCTGTGAGATGAGGCGCAAAGGGCAAAGCTGGGTCCCCACCAGGTGCCGCGGCAGGATGTCTGCGGGCGCCCCACTCGCCCTGAGGTCGCGACCCACTCACCCTGAGGTCAGCGCCCCACTCGCCCTGAGGTCGCGCCCCACTTGCCCTGAGGTCAGCGCCCCACTCGCCCTGAGGTCGGCGACGATGCCGAGAAAGAGGATCTCTTTGGCACTGCTGGTGGGAATGCAAACGGGTGTGGCCACTCTGGAGAACAGGATGGAGGCTCTTCAAAAAGTTAGAAAATTACACTACGACCCAGCAAATGCACTACTAGGTATTTATCCAAAGAACACAGGAAGGCTGACTCGAAGCGGCGCGTGCACCCCATGTGCATAGCAGCACTGTGGACCACAGCCACGGTATGGAGGGAGCCCACACGTCCATCGACGGATGAGTGGATAGAGAGGCTGTGGTGTAGACATGCTGGAGTATGACTCGGCGATCAGAGAGAATGAAATCCTGCCATTTGCAACTACGTGGGTGGAGCTAGAGGGAAGTGGGCTAAGCGGAATTGGTCAGAGGAAGACAGATACCCTATGGCTTCACTCATGTGTGGGATTTAAGATATAAAACGGATGAACATAAAAAGAAGGAAGGGGACAAAACACAAGAGACTCTTAACTACAGAGGAGGGTTGTTGGGAGGGTTGCAGGTGGCGCTGGGCTGAGTGGGGGATGGGCACTGGGTGTTATACACAGGGAACGAATCACTGGAATCTACTCCTGAAACCATTATTGTACTACACACTAACTTGGATGTAAATTTAAAAATTAATTACTTAATTAATAGAAAGAGAGGAAGGAAGGAAAGATCTATCCAGAGATGACAAGTGAAACATTCTGGACAAATCATAAAAAACCAAGTCCTGAGGGTTCTGGGAAAGAACAAACGCTAGCAGAATTTGGAGGGGAAGTGGCACTGAGGGAGGGGCGCCCTCTGGGTATGCAGCTCGGCCCTGAAGGCAGCCAGGGCACGCGCCCTGGCTCCGGCGGAGATCCCACCATCTTTCCAGCGGAAGGAAGAAGGCTCAGCTGGTTAAGCATCTGACTCTTGATTTTGGCTCGGGTCATGATCTCATGGTTCGTGAGTTCAAGCCCTGCATTGGACTCTGCGTTTACAGTGTGGAGCCTTCTTGGGATGGTCTAGCCCCCTCTTTCTCTGCCCCTCCCCCCTGCTCACGCGCTCTCGCTCTCAAAAATAAATAAGCATTTAAAAATTGAAGAGGGGGCGCCTGGGTGGCTTAGTCGGCTAAGCGTCCGGCTTCGGCTCAGGTCATGATCTCACGGTTTGTGGGTTCAAGCCCTGCGTCAGGCTCTGTGCTGACAGCTCAGAGCCTGGAGCATGTTTCAGATTCTGCGTCTCCCTCTCTCTCTGACCCTCTCCTGCTCGCGCTGTCTCTCTCTCTCTCTGAGAAATAAATAAAACATTAAAAAAATTTATAAAAATAGAAGAGAATAAAATTTTTTTTTAATTTTTTTTTAATGTTTTGTTTATTTCTAGGAGAGAGAGAGAGACAGCGTGAGCAGGGGAGGGTCAGAGAGAGAGGGAGTCACAGACTGAAACAGGCTCCAGGCTCTGAGCTGGCAGTCAGCACAGAGCCCGACGCGGGGCTCGAACCCACGAACCGCGAGATCATGACCTAAGCGAAAGTCGGACGCTTAACCGACTAAGCCACCCAGGCGCCCCAAGAATAAAATTTTAAAAAAACAAAAAATAGGCCAAGGCAAGAATATGCAACGGGGAAAGGACTGTCTGTTCAACAAATGCCACGGGGACAGCTGGACAGCTGCGAGCGACAGAAAGACGCTGAGCCGCTTCCTTACGCCACACATGGAAATAAACTAAAAATGGATGAAAGATCTAAATGTGAGACCTGAAACCATAACAGTCCTTGAGAAGAGAACACAGGCAGTAACTTATCTCACATCGGCTGTAACAACTTCTTTCTAGACATGTCTCCTGAGGCAAGGGAAACAAAAACACAAATACACTATTGGGACTTCATCAGGGCACGAAGCTCCTGCCCAGCAAAGGAAGCGATCAGCAGCACTAAAAGGCAACCTACTGAATGGAAGAAAAAGAACCGATCGATCTCAACACCAGAAAACCGAGTACCCCAATTAAAAGTTGGGCAAAGACATGAACACTTTTCCAAAGAAGACACCCAGATGGCCTCCGGGCACATGACAAGACGCTCAATGTCACGGGCCATCAGGGAAGCGCAGGTCAGAAGGACAGAGAGGTGCCACCTCACACCCACCAGAACGGCTAGAAGCGACCAACATAAGAAACAACAGGTGTTGTCGAGGGCGCTGAGAAAGGAGAATACAAACTAGTGCAGCCAAACAAATAGAGGGGAAAACAAAAAAATGAAGGGAAAAAAGAGAGAGAAACCCAGAACCAG